CATTTTTCTTGTTGTTAGATTGTTTCTATTGTGTCTATGAAAGTTGTTGGTAGTTCTTGTCTTTGAGATTTTACTGATTAGTTGACAAGGTAAAATGTCCAACTTACGGAGTGAGCTACTCACTCTACTGTAAGTTTTTTCTAGGATAATTTGCCTTTCCTAAAGTCCTTGAGGTTCTCTCTATTCTGCACTGCAACCCTGTGGGAATCTCACATTGATATAGTCCCCTGACACCAACACGGTAGTCCTCCTTCATGTATGAAGTGGCTGAGTGGTGTGAGAGCAGGTGCTCTACTCAAGCAGTTTCTCATACACCTTTTCTCCTGAAGCTTAATGTCTTCCTTTGTCTCTGGAGAAATCAGGGCTGCCAGTGTGTGTGTAAGGGGTCTCAAGTCAGCCCTCTTTCTTGCAGAGAGCTAAGAAAATTCTTTCCTCTGCTCATAGTTCTGTACCCTAAAGTCCTTTTTGGCCCCTGCGATGTCCCTGCAGTTGTAGAGGCAAGAATCCTCAGATGAAAGAACCTATAACCCCAGGCAAGCCTCAGTACCATCTCTCCACAAGCAATGGAGAGTGTTCGCTCTCAGCACAGAGCTTCACCTCCCTCACTTTTTCTCTTGCAGCGTAGTATTTTCCTTTGTCCCTGTTGTGGCCCTTCTCCTTTTTTTAATCTTCTCTCCTTTCTCCTTTGAACATTCATACATACCCTCCTATTTTCACAATAGTTGCAGTATGCAGTATTTGTCCTTTTGTGACTGAGTTATATTATGAAGCATAATGCTTTCCAGCTACATAGTATTTATTGAAATCATTTCTCCTGAGTGCTGCAGAGTATACCATTGTGTGAATGTGTCACAATTTCTCAACCCACTCATTTGCTGATGGGTATTTTGGCTGCTTTCATTTTCTTGCTATTGTGAATAATGCTGCTATGAACATAGATATTTTTTGTTTTTTTTCTTTTATAATAATACTATTGTAACAATAATTACAAGCTTTGACATGAACATAGATATTATTAAGGATCCTATTAAGATTTAAAAACCTAATGAAATGTCACTATGAGAAAACAGACTTGGGAGCAATGAGTTTGAAGGTTTGTTGAGTCGCCTACGACTCGACAACCAGACACTCTTAGCGTCCGCAGTCAGAAAATCAAAAGACGAATTGCATTGGGGAAAATCTGCTGTCAGGGATCTCTCCAGAGTGCTGAAGAGCAACGATGACAGTCTAGATACAAAGGTGCACCTAATCCAGGCCATGGTCTTTGCAGTTACTTGCTAAGCATCAGAGAGCTAGACAATGTCTAAGGATGACAGAAGAATTATTGATGCCTTTGAGTTGTGGTACTGGAGAAGAGTCTTGAACACACCATGGACAGCCAAGAAAACAAATAGGTCTGTCTTAGAGAGGGTGAAACCCAGCTGCTCCTTGGAAGCTAGGATTCTGAAGCTCTGTCTCACATACTTTTGGCATGTGGCCAGGAAGGAGAAGGGCATCATGCTCAGTAGGGTGGAGGGACAGTACAGGAAAGGAAGACTCCAGATGAGATGGATTGATACAGTGACTGGGGCAATGGGGGTTGGTGTGTCAGAATTAGTGAGACTGGCTCAGGACAGGACAGGCTTCAGAACAGCTGTACATAGAGTCGCTATAAGTTGCAGGGAACTCGATGGCACATAACAACAACAACAAAACAACCAGACTCTTAAGGACCACTGTTCCCTTCATGCTTTATCCAGAATGATGCTATTAACTTTTTTTACATTTATTCACATTATTTTAACGGATTTTAAAGGGAAAAAATTTTAGTCTGTTTTTAACACGAAGGTCAGACACTCCTCCCATCCAACTGGTATACACACATTTGTTGCATACATAGAAAGTAAAACTACACAGCAAAATGGGTCTTGAGGGCAGGAATGCTGCTGTCTGGCTGTGTGGGGCACCACACACCCCATTGCAGGTACCAGCACAGCCCTTGTTTTTGCTGAGACCCAGCATCAGGTCTATCTTTACCTTCTGGGGCCACGCCTGCCCTCTGATTTTTCCCAAAGGCGACTTAAAAAAAAAGAAAAGAAATGGACAGGAGCAGGGGAAGTCACAGCACAGCTTTCCAGTACAACTCCTGCATCCACAGCTTCCCAATGGAAAGAGGATGTGAGCTATGGATCCAGGGGCTCCAGGAGAGCACCGGAAGGTCAGCAAAGGAGGTGGGGCAGGAAAGCCGTATTTCCTCTGGTTTTGAAAATGAACCACATACTAGACTCTATACCCACTGAATAGGAAGGAAAATGTAACAACAACAAAGAAGTTAAAACGGAAGGTCAGTTTTAAGAGTAAAGTCACAAAGACATTACCATCTGTCTCTATTGTTTTAAGGCACTTTTGAAGTTAGGATCTGGGCATAGAAGGAGGGGGTCTTCCTTTTTTATGTATCTCCAGACTCCCTCTCAATAAATTCACTCCTAGTTTTAATAACATTATGAAGGAACGAGTAGCTGACAGAAAAACTCTTTGCATAGTCCAGCTGCTTCTGCATTGGAAGATGATTTGTAACCAACACAAAGCCTGCTGGGCAAAGAATGAAGATAGCATCTGAGATGCCCAAAGTGATAGTCACAGGTAAGATTGGGACCAGGCTCCAGCTTGGCCTCCACACTGAGGACTGGAGCCCAAAGGCCAGCAGTGGGTAAATCAGAGGGTCTGATGAGCTGAGGCAAGCCAGGGCCAGGGGAGGATGCCCAGGGGTAAGCACAACCTCCTGCCATCTCGTCTCACGTGGAGATGCCACCTCTCTGAAGAGGTGGATTGGGAAGGGCATCCCAATAGGTTGGCCTCCCTAGAGTGAGGCTGCTCACTAGAGCACCAGCTGAAAAGTGGAGAGGAAGGCAGAAGCGTCAGGCATGAGTTCTCGAGAACAGTCGGTGATGTTGCAGCCCAATGTCTTTCCAGGTCTAGTTAAAAGGCATGTTCACATTGGAAAGTGAATAGTCTGTTTGACCCTCAGTGCCACAGGCAAGCAGGTAAGAGGCAGAGGAACAAGAAAGGAAAGGCAAGGTAGGGGGTGGAGTGGAAAGGAAGGAGAATGCACAATGCAGGGCGGGCCAGGGAGGTCCTAGCCTCTCCATGCACCAGAAGAGGAAGGCCCCCTCCACTTGCCTGCCAGGGAGGCACTAAGGGGTAAACTTGATGCTTACTATTTACATTTCCACACCCATGCACCCTGAGAGGAAGCCCTGGGGTCAGTCTAAGGAGGATGAGGTACCCTCTGCACGGCCAGTGAGGGGAGGGTTGGAGGGAGAGGTGGGATGCTCTCTCCAGCAGATTGAAGTTCTCTTGGCTCTTAGAGTCCCTGCCCCAGAACTTGCAGTCAGTGATGACAAGAAGATCTTGTACTCATTAAGAGATCAAAGGTGGATCTTCAGGTAACCGTGCCTACCAGCTAAATTGAAGGCCACTAAATTCAGGGCCACTACAGCATACATGCGGCCAAGAGGGACTGATCCTGGCTTGGAAGAATGGAGGGACAGCGCAGGAGAGGAAGATCCCAGATGAGATGAACTGATACAGTAACTGGGCAATGGGGGTTGGTGTGTTGGAATTAGTGAGACTAGTTCAGGACAGGACAGGCTTCAGAGCTGTTGTAATTAGGGTTGCTATGAGTTGAGATGACTCGATGGCACATAACAACAACATCACACATTAGTTCTTTCACTCTAAAAAAATGCTAAATTCCCTCCTCACACTTGTTGTTATGTGCTGTCGAGTCGCTTGTGACTCCTAGCGACCCTATGTACAACAGCCTTAAACTCTGCTCTGTCCTGTGACAATTGCACTATCTCTGACACTCCCATCCCAATTACCCCAGTCACTGAATCAATCCACCTCATAGAGGGCCTTCCCCTCCTGCGCTGTCCCTCCACCCTCCCAAGCATGATGTCCCTCTCCAAGGACCGGTCTCTCCTCACTACATGTCCAAAGTATGTTAGACAGAGCCTCAGAATCCTTGCCTCCAAGGAGCCACCCGGTTTAACCCTTTCCAGGACAAATCTGTTTGTTTTCCTAGCAGTCCATGGTATTCTCAATACTCTTCTCCAGCACCACAGCTCAAAGGCATCAACCCTCCTTCTATCCTCCTTGGTCATTGTCCAACTCTCTGATGCATAACAAGTGATTGCGAAGACCATGGCCTGTATCAGACGCACCTTAGTCTCCAGAGAGACACCATTGCTCTTCAGTACTTTGGAGAGGTCCCTAACAGCAGACTTTCCCATGGCTGCTGTTAGGGACCTCTCCAAAGTACTGAAGAGCAATGGTGTCTCTCTTCGAAGTCATATACATGGTTAATTAAAAGGGAAAAAAAGAAATCTTTACATTCAGTAACCAGACAACCTGGAACCAAGTCTTCTGCTCCAATGGCTAAAGTTGCCTTGGAATTCACACTTTAGCAGGCCAAAATGTCCCAAGCATAAGCTTTAAAAACTATGTTGCAAAGAAAAGACACACACAGTGATTGTAATAGTTATACTCCAGTGGAAGGAGGTGGGGGAGGGGAGGGGAGAAGGAGAAAGGTTGAGATTTTGTGTTTTTTGTTCTTGCTAAGTGACAACCAAAAAGTCCACCCGTTCAATTTTAGCGTCATGTTCCGATCTTTCGTGAAATAATCAAAAACATCTTATCTGTTTCACAATAATTTAGGAGTTTATTTCACTGGGAGTGAGCTGGATGTGTACAGTTCTGATTCTTTGGGGTGAAAACTGTGAGGACAATGAGAAACCCTGCTGACAGTTTCTACAAACACCATGGAAAGCGAAGAAATATCTGCATACAAAGCCAAGGAGGGGGCAAAATATCCCAACTGTCCTGGTCATCTGGAAAGGCATCTGAACCATGCCTGAGGGGGGCCTGTCAGACTGGTAAAAATGAGAGAGACCAGCCCAGCAGATTGGCAGGGGCCCAAGCAGAGGCCCTTGGCCACTTTCAAAACTCTGATTAGGGTATCAATATTTTGGCCTCCCAACGTCCACTTTGATTTTGGTATACAACGGTTGTCTCTCTATGCCCAACACCTTGTAGCGGAGTGTGTTCAAGCCGTCCAAGGGCATTGTCTTCTTTGTAAGTGATATTAGGACAAATCTGTAAGGATTGGGTTCATTGTTTTTGTCTCTTGAGTGGCGGATCATCCGACATTTCCCGATCGCAGCATTTGGGCGAGATATAGACATGCCTTTAAAAATTAATCTTTTAAAAATGTCATCATCTTCACCTCCCCAGCCCCAGTAATTATTAGGAAATCCATTGATGGCGAGATATTGCTCCTTACTCAGAGCAGAAACCCCTCCAAAATACTGAGGATAAGGCAGGCTAAATCCAAATTTATCTATGAATGCAGAAATATGTCGTGGCTGTGAAAAGCACCGGTAGGCATTACGGTCATCCATTGGGATGAGGTCCACATCACTAAATACAAAGCAGGTGTAGGCATAGTCCTTCAAGGCCTCTTGAAAGCCAATATTGAAAAGCTTAGCACGATTGAACAAGGAGCCTCCCTCCTGGTTGATAACATAGACACCATAATGCAACTGCTGGCGCTGCAGTACTGGGTGCAAGTAATGCAGCCAGTACTTGAGGTGTTTATGCCGGTTTCGGAATGGAATAATGATAGCTACCTTGTGAGGAGAGACACAGTTCTTGGGGGCATAGAGGCCGCCCACCTTTACCTCCGGGTTCTGTTCTGCCACACGCTGCAGGTCCACGGTCACGTTAAACTTGATCACCATGGGGCCAACGAGCAGAGGGGACTCCTCTGGGCAGGCAGGGGGCGAGGTAGCCGCAGTCCGCTCGCCCTCCGCGTCCGGGCTGGGATTGGAGCCCAATGGCCCCTGCGGCGGGATCCGGAGTTCCCCAGAGCGCCGCTGGGAGGCGCCGTCCGTGCCCTCCGGCTGTACGATGACCTGGGGCAGGAGATTCATATACAGGCTGCACAAGAAGAAGATGAAGGTGACGCTGAGGTGCAGCGCACAGAGGACCAGAAGCAGGCGGCAGGACCGGAACAAGTAAGAACCCAGCATCTCGGCGCTGCTGCTCAGGAGAGGCTCCCGAAACCTTATCTTCCCGCCGCCTCAACTCTGAACACTATAAAGCCGGAGGGCGACCCGCCCCACGGGCCCCTGGCCAAGCGCGCTGACCACAGCCACAGGGGAGGGAGGAGTCGTGGCAGCTAGTCACTTTTAATAAAAGATTTTCATAAAAGCCCTATTTTTCCTGGCCAAAAAAAAAATATAGATGTAGAGACTTAAAGAGTATCTGTTAGGAAAGAGTTCACTGGAAATAACAGAAAGTACAACTCCAGTGGCTTAAACAAGAGTTTACTTAAAGAGTTGTGGCTCTAGTGGAATTTCTCCTCTTCTACAGAGCTCCGAGGCTGGATTTTGACCCCATTTCTCTCACTCTTTGTTACAGAAATTAGACTCTTAGTCATTCCCACGCAGCCACACTCTCATCCTTAACCACCCTTAACGTCCAGCATCCTGTGATGCTTCTGCCGGGGTTTCTCTGACATGCTTATTTGGGTGGTGCACGGAGTCTTGCCTTACACGGGCTCCAGATGTGGGAACGTGAGAAGCAAGACTGTAAATCCCACAGGAGGAGATTGCTCATCCTTCTCCCGAGGAGCAGCTGCTGGATTCAAACCTCCTGCCAAAAAAAAAATTGGTGGTTTGAACATACCTGCCACTCAAGAGAAAAGTATAGCAGCTGTTTATGTAAAGATTTAATGTCTCAGAAATCCTATGGAGTAGCTCTACCCCTGAGGTCAACACATTGTTTGGGGTTTTTTATTATTTAATGAAACTTTACAGAGACTTTGGATTTCCATTCATTAATTGTTGCACACTTTCCTCCTTGCCCACAACTCCCCCCAGTTCTCTCTTCTCTTTGAAAAGTACAAAAACAAAAAAATTCTTTCACTGTTATACAATCCCCCCTTGCCCCCCAGTCCATTCCACTATGCAGCTTTCATTCTGGACCCTTGTCATGACAATAATGTTGTTGTTGTTATGTGCCATCGAGTCGCTTGCGACTCATAGCGACCCTATGTACAACAGCCCTAAACTCTGCTCTGTCCTGTGCCAATCGCACTGTCTCTGACACTCCCATCCCGATTACCACAGTCACTGAATCAATCCACCTCATAGAGGGCCTTCCCCTCCTGTGCTGTCCCTCCACCCTCCCAAGCACGATGTCCCTCTCCAAGGACCGGTCTCTCCCCACAACATGTCCAAAGTATGTTAGACAGAGCCTCAGAATCCTTGCCTCCAAGGAGCCACCCGGTTTAACCCTTTCCAGGACAAATCTGTTTGTTTTCCTAGCAGTCCATGGTATTCTCAGTACTCTTCTCCAGCACCACAGCTCAAAGGCATCAACTCTCCTTCTATCCTCCTTGGTCATTGTCCAACTCTCTGATGCATAACACGTGATTGCGAAGACCACGGCCTGTATCAGACGCACCTTAGTCTCCAGAGAGACACCATTGCTCTTCAGTACTTTGGAGAGGTCCCTAACAGCAGACTTTCCCATGGCAATGCGCCTTTTAATTTCCTGGCTGCTGGTGCCAAGACTGTTGACTGTGGAGCCTAGCAAACTAAAGCTGTGTACAATCTCAATCTCTTCACCATCCATCCTGATGCTGCCAATTGGTCCAGTGGTGAGAATCTTTGTCTTCTTGACATTGAGCCTCAATCCATATTGGAGGCTGCAGTACTTGACCCTCTGCAGCAGGTGCTTCAGGTCCTCTTCAGTTTCAGCAAGCAGGGTTGTGTCATCTGCATAACGCAGATTGTTGATAAATCGTCCACCAATCTTGACCCCACATTTCTCCTCTTAGAGCCCAGCCTCCCGGATAATCTGTTCTGCATATAGGTTGAAAAGGTATGGAGATAGGATGCATCCCTGGTGTATACCCTTCCCAATTTTGAACCATGCAGTGTTCCCTTGATCTGTTCTGACGACTGACTGCCTCCGGGTCTAACTATAGGTTTTGCATTAGCACTATCAAATGTTCTGGGATTCCTGTTCTTCCCACAGTCAGCCACAGTTTGTTATGATCCACACAGTCAAATGCCTTTGCATAGTCAATGAAACACAGATAGACATTCCTCTGGTATTCTCTGCTTTCAGCTAAGATCCATCTAACATCAGCTACATGTACCCCTTCTAAGCCTGGACTTCTGGTTGTTCTCTGCTGATGTGCTGTTCCAGTCGTTTGACAATAATACCTAATCATATTCCTCCTAAACTGTTCTCTCCCTCATCTATTTCAATGTAATATACATTAGTTATCCCACTTTCTCAGTCTCACCCCAACACCAATGTCAGTCCTGTTTTACAACAGTGGCACTATGCAGTTTTTGTCCTTTGACTGAGATACTTCACTCAGCAGAATGTCCTCCAGGGTCACCCATTTTTTATAATATTTCATGAGTTTCTCATTTTTCAATGCAGCATAGTATTCCATTATGTGAATATTCCAGAGCGTCTCTATCCATTCGTTTGTTGATGGACATTTAGGTTGTTTCCAACTCTTTGCTATTGTGAACAAAACCACGATAAACATGGGTGTGCATATATCTGCTTGGGTGGTGGTTATGGTTTCTTTGGAGTATATTACCAGTAGTGGAATTGCTGGGTCAAATGGTATCTCTATTTCCAACTTTTTGAGAAAGCACCATGCTGTCTTCCATAATGGTTGCACCACAAGTTGTTTTGTTTTTAATGGGGTTGACTAATGGCCTCGATTTAGTGGGAGGACACCAATTACTGTGGGACACTGTTGTTGTGTACTATCTAGTTGGAACTGACCCATAGCTGACCCTCCAGTGGATCAGAATCAGTTAATCACATGGGAGGAGACTCCCCATCCTTCTCCCGCAAAGCAGCTGGTGGATTAGAACTGTGTGCCTTCGGGATTGCAGAGCAGCGATTTTGTCACTATGCCATCAGTGCTCATCAGGGTTTTTTTTTGTTTTTTAATGGCTTTGACTATAGGGCTCAGTTTACTGGGAGGCCACCAGTCACTGTAGGAGGTTAGCATTTGAGGGAGTCTTGTTTGTGTCTGCATGTGTGCATGCTCTGTCCAAGCATGCCCCATCACCCTGTAATGAATGCAGTACAGGGAGCTCTGGAGGCCTAGAGGGTAAGGGGCTGTGCTGTCAACCCAAAGGAAAGAGGCTTGAATCCACCAGCTGCTCCTTGGAAGAAAGATGGACAATCTCCTCCAGTGTGATTTACAGCCTTGGAAATTCCACCAGAGGATCAGCTATCAACTATGAGAGAGAGAGAGAGAGAGAGAGAGAGAGAGAGAGATCTCAGAAGCACACCTATGATTTGAAACTTTTAATAGGTCCAAAGGATTCACACTAACCATTGGGGATTAGCTGGTGAGAGGACTGCGAAGGACAGAAATATCCAGTATGGGTTTTAGGGGCTGGGGAGAACACAGTTCCTCTGGGCTCGCTTGTCCTGTCTCTTACCTTCTTCATTTTACATGCTTAGTCCAGAAGACCTGCCAACTTACCGGTGGAGGGGCCAAGTGGGAGCAAAGTCAAAAGTGAATATGAGGATGGAGGAAATTCCAACTCATCCAACTCCCCCATTGTAATGGCCAAAAAGCTTGTTTACGGCCTCTGTTGGGCTTGTGCTAACCAGGGAGGTTGCATCACCTCCCCTCACGCTCACAGTTATCTGCCCAGCCAGGTACTGAGATAGAGAAAGAATAGAGCTCCTTCTCTATATCCTCTTGGCATTCTAAACCTTGTGTTTTACAAGCCCACTCCATTGGTTGAAAACTTATTGCCATCCAGTAGGAACCAACCCTCAAGTAAATTTTCAGAAGCTAAAAATCACATGAGAGGAGACTCCCAATCCTTCTCTAGGGAGCTGCTGCCAGAGAAGTGGGGTCTTTGTGTCAGCAGCTCAACTCTTTATTTAGGTCCTAGGCCCCCAGAGCTCCCTATCCCATTTATGAGATACTTTGTATTATTGCAAGTTCCTTAGTGAGCACCAGCAAGGCAAACTTGTCCAACCTGTCCCTCAGAACACGCTTAGAAGCTCAGTTCAAGCTTCTGTGACCAAGAGTTAACCTTTGCCAAAAGTTTCTAGCTGAGCTGCTATTCAAACACAGACAATACACACACACACACACACACACACACATTATATATATATAT